AAAATCCCCTCTTGATTCCTTCCATGAACGAGAGGTCCATAAAATGAACGATCAAACCTTTAAACAGTTAGGGTCGTCTCAAATTCCCATCTTGGTCAAACCTTTAAATAGTTAGGACCACAATCAAAATCCCCTCTCGATTCCTTCCATGAACGAGAGGTCCACAAATTGAACGATCAAACCTTTAAACAGTTAGGATCATCTCAAATTCCTATCTTGGTCAAACATTTAAACAGTTAGGACTACAACTAAAATCCCCTCTCGATTCCTTTCATGAACGAGAGGTCCACAAATTGAACGATCAAACCTTTAAACAGTTAGGGTCGTTTCAAATTCCCATCTTGGTCAAACCTTTAAACAGTTAGGACCACAACCAAAATCTCATCTCGATTCCTTCCATGAATGAGAGGTCCACTTTTAATTTGAGCAATCAAATCTATAAAAGTTAGGATTACCTCCAACCTCACCTGGTCAAACCTACAGATAGTTAGGACTAAGATCGGAATGCTCCTTTTGATAAACGAAAGACTTTCACCTTTTCCTACTCGGCCAAACCTATAAAAGTTAGGGCTAAAATCGGAAGTTTACCTTAATAAATGAGGAATTCTTTTCTTGGATTAAGCAACCAATCCTATAAAAGTTAGGGTTGCTTGAATCTTTCCGATTCTCGGAGTGGAGATCCCACTCCTAGTTTTACTTTTCTGGATTCTTAGGGTGGAGACCCCACTTCGAGTTTTCTTGGCAACTGGAGATAGAATATAAAATTCTTCCTCTTCGGTTTTGGGAGATAGAATATAAAATTCTTCCTTTCCCATTTTTGGTTCATCTTTTCCCCAAGATAAGACACCATTCTTCAACTCCATAATTCGTGCCTTACACACACGAGGAATTTTATCCCGAATCCTAAGTAGGGATAAGTCGACGCCTAACATGCGTTACCGGATAGTCTATTCCCGTAAAAAAAACTAAGTCTACGTATTCAATATCGTAGCACTAAGAGAGTTAACTCTCTTAGCACAATGTCACATGCGGAACAAACTTAAGCAATCTACATGCAAGCCCGATTCAAACGGTAATCGGTAAAGTCACGTCAAATCCATTGAAGGCTGAGGATTTGCCAAAAATCCTAAGTCTACATCTGATACACGTTACTGTTTAGTCTTTTCACAGGAGAAAGATGAAGTCTACGTATTCAATATCGTAGCACTAAAAGAGTTAACTCTTTCAGCACAACGTTACATGCGGAACGAACTTAAACAATCCGCACGCTAGCCCGACTCAAACGGTAGTCGGTAAAGGCTAATCAAACCTGTTGGTGGCTGAGGGTTTGCCAAAAATCCTATAAATATGAGAGTCATTGACGCACCAGCCCCATTAGTTGGTCTCGTGACTTAAGCATCTAACAACTTTAGATAAGAACCATTCATGTAGATGAATCAGCTTTAACAGTTGGTCTTGCGTCCCAAACATTTGGGACCGCCACGCTCTAACACCTTAAGAGCTTAAATTATGTAGACTCCAGCAAACGTATGAGTATAAGCTGTGTTAACGTCGGTCAACACGTTATAGTAAAGGTCGATACTGGTCAACGCATCAGCAATCTTACCAAAATAAGGCAAAGGAAGATTCCAGGGAGTTCAATCACATTCAGATATGAATTACTGATGAAGATGATCAGTTTAACGTCAACTCAATGACAAGAGCTAGATTCAGAAACTTACACACCAACTTCAGTTCAAGATTTCAACAACGGTCAGACGATAAACGCAGCGTCAGAAGAACTTTATCTATTCAACAAAATACTAAATAGAAGGAAGGCTGAAGAAGTCAAGAATTGGAGCTAGCTACAGGTCCTTTGACACCGACTGAAGGTGGGACCTATCACATCCAAAGTATTTCAGACTCCTCTATAAAAGAATGAGGCTGAAACACTTTAGAGGGGGTATCTGTAGGCATCTAAAAATACCTATAGGTGTCCGCGCACAGCTCGAGACAAAGAGAAAGCGATGAACGCTATCATCCAAGTCGAGAAGATTTACCCGAGTGGCCCGCGTACTCATCGGCCACCACCAAGTGGTCCGTACGCTCAACGTCCCCCGGAATGACGAACCAAGTGTCCCGTGTGCTCACCGGCTATTTCCAATTGGCCCGCATACTCATTAGCCAGTTCCAAGTAACCCATGCATTCGTGGGCCATCAGAACGGCAAGCCAAGTGACCTACACATTCGTCGACCACCATCAAGCGATCCACGCATTCACGAAACATACGAAGCGAATCGAGGAAGCGTATCAGTCAACGAAACGATGAAATACACACAAACGATGAAACAAGTCAAACCCTAGAAAACCAAGAAAGCCCCTGGCAGCCAAGTCGCATCAAAACAACCCGGCCAGGCCAGTGGCTCCCATGGCCGAGCCACCAAGTGGTAATTCGGCCAGTTCCGATCCAAGATCAGTTTTGTTTCGGTTTTTACGGATTCTTTCGGGATTTGTTTGTTCATGGGCATTCTAACTGATCTGATACTATGGTTATACAATTGTTAACTGAAGATAAAGAGAATCTATCATTCTCATCCAAAGACCCGCATCCGATGCCTATAAATATGAGCCTAAGGCCTTCATTTTACTAGCTGGGCATCAAGAGGATGAAACGCTGTCGAATTGGAGAGTGGAGCCAAGAATTTATAACAAGGGTTAGCAGATCTTGGCGATCTCCTGTGCATAAAGAGTGGAGTTCGAGAGATCCGAGACTCGTCCCCTATTCCTCCGGATTTAAGCTTAGTCTTAAATCTCGAGAAGAACCGTGATCTCACTTGGTCGAGATCATCGCTGCAACGATTACTTCCTTCGTAAAGTGAGAGCATTAATCATTTATCTGTCAACCAGATCTGATCCGTGGCGGTCCATGGATATTAACGTCCCCGACACAGGCAAAGTTCCCACACAAATAGCGGGTGATAAACGTCTGTTGTGCTATTTGACAAAAGTCATATCTTTTGTATTTTCATTATATAAGAAGATCTTATAAAAATGTCAACTTTTTTATTTGAGTTTATTGTAAACGATTAAAGTTGTAATAGATTCAATCACAATGAAAACTTTATTGTAAACGATTAAAGTTGTAATAGATTCAATCACAATGAAAACAACGATTTTTGACCCAAACAAATAATTCTCCTAATTACAGATTGAAGTTTTGCCTCTGAATGTAGCATGAAGATTGATGACACTCCAGATTGATTCTAATCTAGTGAAGAAGATTTTGATTGGGCAACCCAGTAATGAGTGAATCCAAAAGTTGAAGAAGTTAATTAGGAATGGACAAAGGATATCTATATACATAAGGAAAGAAAGACCACTAATGTGTGGAGATCATTTGTGCATACTAAAAGGAGATGTCTAGAGGGAACTTTTGACAGAAGTTCATACCTTGGTATACACCATGTATTTAGTAATACCAAGATGTATCGTGACCTTCATTAGAAATTTTAGTGGGAAGACGTGAAGAAGGAAATGACTAAGTATGTATCTCAGCGCATGACTTTTCAGCAAGTTAAAGCCTAGCATTAGAAGCTAGGAGGTTTGCTATAGTCATTACCCATTTCACAGTAGAAGTGAGAGCACATTACCATAGTTTTTTTGAAAATATTACCTAGCAGTCCGAAAGTTAACAATGAAGTATGGGCCATTGTAGATTGGTTGACCAAGTTGGCATACTTCTTATCATTTAGAGTTGAGTAGCCTACCGATCAATTTGCTGAGAGATACATGCAGAAGATTGTTCGACTTTATGTAGTCTCTTTTAGTATCATGTATGACAGAGATACCTATTTCTTATCTCATTTCTGGCAAGAGCTACATGCTAAGCTAGACACATGTCTTCATTTTGCTATGTCCTTTCACCTACAAAGTAATGGCTAGTCTGAGCATGTCATTTAGTTCTTGGAGGACATGTTGAGGCGATGCATGATCAATTTTGGAGGATCATGGGAGTATTATATACATCTTGCAAAATTGTCCTACATCAACAGTTACTAATCTAGTATTCAGATGACATCATACTAAGTGTTGTATGGTTAAAGGTGCCGATCATCTGCTTTTTAGGATGAAGTTGGAGAAAGGGAGATGTTGAGTCTGAAAATAGTGATACATACAGTAGACAAGATCAAAGCGATAAGGGATCATTTGAAGAGAGCCTAAGATCACCAGAAACGCTGGACAAACAAAAGCCGAAGATCTTTGGAATTTAAGAAGGGTGACCATGTGTTCTTGAGGATTTCACTAATGCGGGGAGTTATACACTCTAAGGAAAGAGGGAAGTTGAGCCCTAGATACGTGGGTTCGGTCAATGTCTTGGAGAATATTGAAGAAGTATCCTTCATTTAGCGTTGCCACCTTTTTTATCCGATATACATGATCTTTTCCCATGTCTCAACTTTGACGATACATTTTGGGAGATGGTCATGTTGTGGAAATATCTAAGCTTGAAGTTAACCCATTGCTACCATAAACTAAAGTGAGAAGATACTTAAAAATTATAGTATCCCACTAGTCTTAGTCTCTTGGGATATGAACCGTCTCGGTGAGGCCACATGAGAGAGAGAGAGAGAGGATGAGATTTGTGTTCGATATCAACATCTTTTTTCTTAGGAAGTATCTTTTATTTTTCCGTGCTTTCCCCATCTTATTCTATAAATTTTGAGGATGAAATTTTCTTTTTAAGAGATATGGTGTAAGGACCCTACCCTACTCTAATTTTTTTTAACTGTAGATTTTGTTCAAATAAATTTAAATATCCAATTCTCATCGAATTCTTGATTTTTGACATGTATCACATGCTTTTATTCAAGTGAAAAATCATGAATGTTACTTTTTTGTTTATTATATTAAGTTTTGGGTTTCAATTTGAATTATTGTGTTTTCACAATAGTTTGGGCCTTAAGAGAGAGATAAATGTGTTATTATGATAAGTTGGTTTATTAGGTTGGATCTAACAGAATGTATATCCATTTCACCTAAAACCTCTTCTTAATCCCCCATAAAAGCCCCAAATCCTTCCCCTCATGAGATTAGAGCTAAGATTGGAGAGCTTGGAGGTCAAAGATAGGATTGCTTCCACACGTAAGATAGACATTTTCTTGCTCAATAATTTTCCTTTGAAAATGCAAACTTATCAGTTTTGAAGATCTCATTCTTCCCTTCCTTTTGATATAAAAGAAAATTTTGAAAAAAAATACCTTTGTATTTTTATGAGGTTTGACCAAAGGGAGGATCTCTCAATAGGTGGATTTCAATCCACAATCTCTTTCAAGGGGAAGGTCCCCTTGTTGTAGGTCAATATTAACTTTTCAAGATAGAGTATTCGATCCAAATTTTGATGAGGCTTTTCATGGATTTTTAGTATTTTGTGATGTATGTAATTTTATTATATTGTTTAGATAGTATCAGGTAGATTGGATAAGGGGCTATCCCCCTTTTTTCTTGCATTGCTAGCTCGAAGGCACTAATGGTAAATTTGGAAATACTTGACTATTTGATGTCAAACTTAATAGAATAGATCCCTCTTGGAAGTAGAAATCCTCAGTTGAAATTGGTTTATTTATTTGCTTTTGAATTAAGGAAGATTTTGATCAAAAATATTTTAAAACTCTAGTATAAGCGCATGTGGTCAATCTATCCAGCTTAGGCGCTTGGTGAAATGCCCGAGAGCAGTTTGGTTTACTGTATTGCACACACATCCAAACAATGAGTTCACACACTCAAGCGGATTTTTAAAGAGGATTTTCTATTTTAACTTCTTAGTCAACTATTAGAACTTGGTTAAGTGGCATTGGGGGGAGCATACACGCACAACCTCTTAGCACACATGCTTAGTTAAAAAATTAATTCTTTTAGTTTTGGAAATTTGATCCATTCAAGCTTGTTTTTCATGATTTTTTGGTTTCAATTCATGGATTATTATATCAGTTATGTGGCATTGCTTGTTCTTTCCATTTTGAGATAAAGTAGATGACAAAGTAGTTGCTTGGTTAAAATTCTTCATCTTTATTTGTTTCATCGAAATCATGATATATCCATGTTTACATACAAGTAACGCTTGTGGTGCTATGTTATCCCATAGTGTTTTATCATATGTTTCTATCATACTATGCTTTGTTATGTCATGGCCTAGAATCCAGGAATATTATGCATGTCGGCCTGGGTGAGACCATGAAGTTTTGTTTGCTTGGTTCGTTATCATGAGACTTGGCCTTAGGGTTATGCATGAGCACCATCATGTGGTATATACATAATGATGATGATTAGTTGTGTTTGGATATTGACCATGTCGCTCATAACACTAAATCAAGAATATTTTCAAATTGAATTAAGAAGATTTGGGATACATTGCAATTATGAGTAGAGGATCGTGATTCTTCACTACTAGAAACTTGATCAAGTATAAAACATGATAAACTAAAAGAGAAAAATCGAGAATATGTCAAGTTCCCAATCATGATTGACTTCCTTTAATATTTGACAAATATGTTTCATTTGAATGGAAACCCAGTCTAAGGGGGCACCCACATGATGTAGTTCTCTACAGATTGAGTTGTTCAGACCTAGTGCATAATATATTATGTATAACTAAGTAATAAAAATGTTAAAATTAGTTATGGGAGGGAATTTACATCTTAAAGATATTGTGTAGCCCAGGGTTGTGTTTGAGTGCTAGTGCTAAATATGTCTGTACACATAAACCAAGTAAAGTAAGAATTTAAATAATGTTCCTAAAGGGTACACCAAACACATGTTATCTCGTGAGATCTTTTCATAAACAATATTAAGTAAAATCTGAGAATAGTTAGATACGCACACTAGTCTTGCATCACACTTAAGGATATAGACGCACTCTCCTTTGTGATCTCTGTATTGCCATATATCTAATGATCTGCCACTCTGATAGCTCTATTTTATGAGCAGAATTTTGAGATCATAGTTCTTGTTCATGTACATACAATTATATAGTCTTTCTTATGTATATACCAGTTATATATTCATGATACATATTACATGTGCAAAAACCACTTCCTTATTTTACCACTTGCTAGACGGATTTCTTACCATCCTGGTTTGCACACCTGTTGTGAATCTAGACATTGTACAATGGCTTTTAGGCACAACAAAATCTAGTAATATTCTGTAGATGGAGTTTCCACAAACCAGTTTACCTGCCTATTTATCCAGTTTTTATTCTATTTTGCTAATTATCGGACTTTGTTATCTATGTTTACTTTTTCGCTGCTTTATAATGACTCTGATGTACATAGTTATTTTAGTTGCTATTCCAAACTTATATGGTCGTACGACCTTTTATTATGTTTTCTATGAGGATGACATTGATATCAAACTCGTGATATCTTTTATGTTATTCGGTATTTGTCGAACTTGCTATTTAATTTTGGTGAGTATTTTTCACTCTCATTGAGTATTTGTACTATACACTTGCTTTATACAATATAATAGCTTCTTTATATTTTGATTATATATGATTCCATCTATTCTAGATATAGTTGATGAGATATATGTACCAATGTTTCTGACATGCTCAAGCATATGCTTTCAGATGGTGTTTGGCCCGATTGTATATATTGCATAGCCTAGTCACATGCTTGTCGACTCAGGGTATGACACCCATAGTTGGGTTGGCTTTTTTTCTAATTTTCAAACTTGAGTAGTGTTATATACAATATGTTTAAATTTTAGGGGATTTTTCTCAAATTAAAATAGTTGAGAGAAGTTTTTAACTCTTAAATCATGTATTTAAAATTATACATGTGCCACATTATATTTATAGTTGATGAATTAGTCTTCCTCTTAAAATATTATTAATGAGTTTTTCAATTTTTTATTATTTTTTGATTTGATATCATGTCCTTACTGATTTTATAAAGAGAGATTATTGTTTTACCGTGCCTCTCTTTAAAACATTAATGGAACAAAGACATCATAAAAAATAAATAAATATGTATAAAATTTAAAAACTTTCGTATGATAAAAAAAGTACAATTCAAAATATAAAGAAATTATTTACACAAATTACTTAAAATATTAGGCTAAATATCCATATTGGTATTTTAATTCCACCCCATTTACCAAGAAGGTATTTTAATTAGGCAAACATGCTTTAAGTCATTTTAATTGATTCAACTCACCAACAAAGCCCTTTTTCTCGTCGGCGACCAGTTTTTCGGTGAGAGCTCGTCACGTGCGTGGCACGTGATGACTTAAACTATTTTTTAGCTGCTGATATGGCATGAATTTTCTAACATGTATCACGTGGCACACATGTGACAAGCTCTCACCGGAAATCTGGTTGCCGACGAGAAAAATGTCCTTGTTGGTAAGTTGAATCAATTAAAATGCCTTAAAATAGGTTTGCCTAATTAAAATATCTTCTTAGTAAATAGGGTGGAATTAAAATACCAATATGGGTATTTAGCCTAAAATATTAACTCAAAGTCTCCCAGCTTCATCAACTTTTCCAAATAATTAGATTGAAGTTCTAATGGTTCTTAAGATTATTCTTCTGATAAATATTTGGATTCTAAAGGTATGCTATGATATTTTAAAATCACATATATTTTTCCAATTAAGTTAAAATTCTAAAGCAAACATCACAAGATGAGATTGGATTTTGAGGTTGTTTTAGATTAAGTCAACATGTGAACACCTTATTCTCATCTAACTGTGTTTTTATTTGATTGATTCATGTTGTAGGATTTAACTCAATTAATGTACTCTTTATTTCATACCAAATCTAAAAACAAATCACAATAAATTGTCAACGAGATATTTTTCTAGTGTTGTGATCATACAAGGACCGCTGATTTTTTATATCATTTTTAATTTTTAAATATTATAAAAAGGGATGAATATTACCAAAGAGATTTTGAGATTAAACTATGTAATTTTGAATTTGAAATTTTAAAATAAAAAGTATCCGCACACTCATTCTACAAGCTGACGTTTTCTTTTCCTCTTTTTATCTTAAAATATGATAAATAAAGAAAAATATTGTAAAGAAGAGGTTGGTGATTAAACTATCTAATTCTGAATCTTAAAGTTTTAAATAAAAGTCAACCACACTCCTACTTTGAATTTATTTTAAGTTTCAAATTATTTGAAGAAAAATATCCAGCTCAGATTATGTAATTTTAATAATCTATATGCTATAAATCATTGGTATAATCCATTAGTATAATCATATCTATAAAAATAGTTTATATAAAAATAGAAAAGAAGAAGCAATAGTTTAAAAAGAATATGTTCAATTCAATTTAGAAACACACACATACGACCAAAGAAGAAATCTATAGAGACCAAACAAATTAGATATAAAAAACTTAGGACCCTACCTCCCTAGATAGTATTGTGGTTTCAATTCATGCTATCCGCTTCATAGTACTTATTACATGTAAGACTATGTTGTGCGCGGCGGAAGCTTTCTAGGGCAACACGAACAATAACTCGAACTAAACCACAAATAATATGCAAACCACAATCAAAGCAAGAACAAGAATTTACGTGGTTCGGTAAGTTGCCTACGTCCACGGGGCAAGGAGGGGGGGAGTTCTTTCTACTAGAAATCAAGAGAATACAAATAGGGTTACAAATCTCTCAGACCAAACCCTAAAACAAAGCTCTAGATCTCTCCAAGCTCTCTCACAATTGGATGCAACAAATCTCTCTTAGAGGCTGCTCAAAATCGTCCTTCAGATTCCCTAACAAATCAGGTTTAGGGTATATATAGATTTCAAACCGAAACGGGTCAAAAACCTGAAAGCCCAGCCCAAAACGACGTCGGTCGACCAGCACGGTCGACCGCGATCAATTCCGGTCGACCGGCCCGCCAGTCGAAAACCCAAAAATCCAGAGAACCCCTCGGTCGACCGCACCGGTCGACCGAAACACCTGCGGTCGACTGGCCCGGTCGACCGACCTCCTTTCTGTCGCACAGTAAGCTTTGTACACGAATGCGGTCGACCGGACCGGTCGACCGCCGCCTGGTTTGTCTGATTCTTCTGAGTTTCTGTAATTTCTTCAATTCTCCTCCTCGGCGAATGTTTCCACCAAAAAAC